CTCTCTAAGTAGTCCGTTGATTGCTTGATTGAATATTTTGGATCTTGATCGAGTTATAGGACCCGCCGGGACGATTAGTACTTCCTTCGGTACAAGCTGCTCCTCGGATTCGTGTGGTGCTTCCTCCGGTACAAGCTCTTTATCAAGTTCCAAGTCCTTTGTGCTTTCCATGAACACATCACTTAGAGTACTTAGCGAATCCAACCCTAATGCGTCGATCTATGCGTCGTTTCCTGTGTCAGTTGAGCAACGAAGTATAGGGAGATTTGCCGGCTTATTTTATAACCTAGGATAACTCGTTCATTTGCCTTTCGTAGTTATGAACTAGAACGAAAAAATAGAAACCCTAGAGATCTAACAACAAAGGAAATGCCTAAGTGAACACGAGGAACGTGTGGAAGATGTTCCTTCAAAATTGAAAGAGAACTTAACGGTAGAAGCAAAACCAATTCGGATCATTGATCGAATAGAGAAGGGGACACAGATGAAAAATATTAACATGATAAAGGTGTTGTAGAATTGCGGTGGCCGCAAAGAAGCTAATTAGGAAACCGAGAATAAGATGAAGGCCGATTTTTCTAAGTAGTTTAAAGAGATGGGTGAAGATCAACTTGAGTTGGATTCAAGGATGAATCCCATTCAAGCGGGGGAGACTTGTAATGCCCGCGATCCTTAATAGGGTCGTCGGTGAGACTTGGTCCAATAAAAGGAGGAGAAACTTGGATGAGTCAAGGAAGGAGCTGCCCATCAGGTCAAAGTAGGGGACTTAAGCACGCTAAGTAGCTAAACCAGCTACCGTGAGCTCAGCTAAGCTCGACCAGCTGCCGAGTAGCTCAGCTAAGCTCGACCAGTTGCCAAGTAGCTCAGCTAAGCTCGGGTGACTGTCTGATGGTTGGGCGGTTGGGCGGTTAAAGGGAGTGGTTTGGCGGTTAGGGGGAGCGGTTGGGCGGTTAGGGGGAACAGTTACCAAACGAGCAGTTATATGCCTAAGAGGCGCCTCTTAAGAGAACGGTTTCTGATCGAGATTACTTACGAGCCTTTGTTTTTAGGAAAAGATGGCGATCGTGGGAAGGGATCGGCTTAGACGCGAGAGACTCATGGCCAGGAAACTATCCTTAGGACAGGCTTTGTTCTGGTCGGTGAAATCCACATAAACCCGCCATTTTCCATTCTTCTTTTTAACTACAACTGGATTTACAACTGGATCAGGGTACTTGACTTTGCGAATCCGGCCCGCATCTAGCAGTCTTTTCACTTCGGCGTTAACGGCTTCAGGTCGATCTGGGCCGAGTTTCCTGCGCTTTTGTTTTACCGGCTTGAAGGTAAGATCAACATTAAGCTCGTGTGAAATCACCTTTGTGCTGGTTCTGTTCATTTCCTCAACTTTCCAAGCAAAGATTTTTCGGTTTTTCTTGAGGAATGAATCAGCTTACTTCGAAATTCTTCACTTAAGCTCGCACCAATGTTCACAAGCTGATCCGGATACTCATCGACTATTACAGCTGCTTCCACGAGGTCACTGCCAATTTTCTTAATAGGATTCGCAGGAGCCTCGAGCTGTGGTTCCTATTGAATTTTTAGCTTATGGCCAGTCATATAACACATCCTCGATGCTTGCTGACTTCCCTGAGTCTTCTCGACCCCGGTACTCATAGGCCTGACCAATGTGCAACTCTGGGTTTATAAAGTGTTAAGGCCCGTTAATCACCCCTTGTGAATGCTAAGTAAGCCTCACACCCGGAAATCGAACTAGGAACTTAGAGAGGGAAAGTAAAATGTTTAGAAAAATGCTTAAAATGCTTGGATGATTTACAAATGAGAGATTCTACCCGTTATATACAAGTTCACCTCCATAGTGGACGGTGTGGATTAATTCGATCTAAGGGTGGAGATCGATTCTCTAGATATTCTATTAAACCACAAATAAAACACATTTAATTATATACATTTAACTCACAGTTTAATATAAAACTGAAATCATATAAATTATGCATTAACTACATTCTCCACTCAATTTTATTCAACACAATCAATTAGAATTAGAATTGTAACTCCCATATTTATTTATTTTGAATTGTAAGTCCTATCACTTCTCATCCTATAAATACTCATTTTCTCATTTTCTAGTTCTCTCATTCTCTCATCCTCTTCCACTATATCTCAAATCTTTTTTTATTAATGATTGTTTTGTGTTTTTTTTAATTTCTTTATTTTGATTGTTGTTGTTGTATGGGTTAAAAAAATAATTATAAGAACATCACAACCCCACTAAAATACATTTACTACTTGACTAAAATAATATTGACTATAATTTTTAATTTGAATGGTTTTCCTACTAATTTTTTAAAAAAATGTAACTCCCTAAATGTATTTATTTTCTAAAAATAACCTTCACTAGTACTCATCATCCTACAAATAGTCTTTCTTTCTACCAATATCTCAAAATTTCAATATATGAATAATGATCTATTATATATATATATATTGTTTTTTTGAACTCATGTATATATTGTTTATTTATTCATGGTTTGTGGTTAATAATATTATTATTTTTTTAATATTAATTAAAACGGTTCTACAATCTTAATTAGTAGTAAAATTTTTATTAAAGTTAAATATTTAAAATAAAGTTTATTAATATAACTTGAATTGCGTGGAATAATGAGAAAGAGGAAAAATAGTTTAAAATTATTCTCCAAATATTTATTTATATATATAGTTTTTCTCAAAAATTATTTGAATTTTTATTATTGAAAATCAAACGTGTTTTACATGAACAAACGAACAAAAAGTTTAAATACCATATTAATATATATATATATATATATATATATATATATATATATATATATATTAATTTTATTGCTATTTATAATTAAATTTAGTCAGATTATTTGATTGGTTACACTACTACAAAAATCTATACAAAACAACAATAAGCCACGCTATGCGTGGCTACGTATACCTAGTTTGTTCCAATAAGAAAGTTATTGCCCACAAAAAAAAATCTTTTGTTGTAGCAAGTAAAAATCCTAGAGCCTTATTTTTTGCTGTAAAATGTGTAGACTAATAATATTCACATTACTATTAAATTAAAAAATATGGTAAATATATTTTTTAAAACAACAACAATAAATAAATTTTAAAAATCAGAAAATAATCAGCAAGATAATAAAAACAAATGATATGAAATGAACCAGTTTTTTAATTTAAAATATTTAACACAAATTTAATATTATTTTTATCAATCATTTTTGTCATAAAAACCTGTAACTAAAAAAACTTACAACAACAAAATTTATAGGTAAAACCAGTAGAGCTAGTGAAAATAAAAATCTCATAACTACGGCAAATCATCTCCAGCTACAGTTCAACCGATCAATGATTTTGTCTTTTTTTTTTTTTTTTTTAAAGTCTGAAAAATACATATTCTCTAACAAAGTATTTGATAAAATTCTCCAAGTGTTAAAAAATATTTCGTTTATACCAAAAATGTTTGATGGCAACAAATATTTTAGTTTTCTATAAAAAAAAAAATGAATGAGTAGTACGTGCTATGCGGGCCATAATGCTAGGTTTATTCTATTTTCGTTGCTGGTGCAGAAAGGCCCAGAAGATCAAAATATAATAATTGGAGCCCATTGCTATTTAGACTTTAGCGAGACAAAAAAAAAAAAAAACTGAGGAAGGGTTTAGAGCATCTCCAAAGGAAGGTTTTCAAGTAAAAATTGTGGGGTTCTCTTGTTTAATTGCAATTAAAATAAATCAAAACTACTAAATAATCAAAGAACCGATTCTCTTGAGAGACATTTGAGAATCAGAGAGAGCCGCTGACGCATCGGCGTGTGAGTCAATGCGTTTAATATGAAAGGAAACAAAAAAACGACGTTCGTGTTTTCTCTCTCTCTTCCTCCTCTCTTTCTCTCCCACTGCAAAAACAGAGGAGATTTGTGATCATGTCTCGATCATCATCATCCGCCGTCTCGATCATCAAACAATAAATTAGGTTTAGATTAAAGCTTTCGCCACTATCTTTTTCTCCATGAAATTGGAAAACTTGCTTCGGGTGGTGTTTTGTTGTCTGCGTTAATCCTCCAATTTTGTGTGTGTAGATTTGCGCAATTAGTTGTCATAATTAGGGTTTTCGTTTTGTTGTTTCTGGGGTTCTTTAAGGTTTCATGGAATTTTTGTGTGTAGATATGTTTGTGAGGTGGGAATTTTAAGTTTACTATTTGCAAATTGATCTTGTGTAGCTTAGGTTGAAGATGATCAAACTGATTTTTGAAACTAGCTCAAACTAGTTTGGAGATGATACTCTTTGATATCATCACGCAAGATGCTATTTTTTCTCTCTTGGGTGTTCCATCATTTTAGAATTTGCTGGAAAAACGCTGGGTTTTGTTGTTGTAATCATATCTTTCGGCTGCTTCTGAAGTAGTCAAAAGAAAAGTTACTTTCTAGTGTTGAACAAGATCTTTAAGTGGGTGATAGTGTGAGTGTGTGCATCTTGCTTCTTGGGAAGAAGATCATGCCTTGATGGAGTAATCGAAAGGTAGTTTTTGTTTGATTCTAAATCATGAGAGCTTTATATGTATGAACCTATGTATAAAACATTGTGGTAAAACGTGGAAACTAACTTAGAAGCAGAGATACGATAACTTGCCTAGTTGTATGATAAGTACTTGATTGTAATGTTCTAGGTGTATTTGATTCAGTTTATTAACCTTAGAAGCATATACTGAGTTTAATGATGTTGCTGCTCTTGAATTAAGGTCTTTATTTCTGTTTGGAATCAGTTTCTTAATTGTGAACTCCACTAATCCACTAATCTAAATAACAGGTTTGGCAATGCTAGGTTAAACTCCTATGGTCTGCCCTGAGAACAACCAACTTCAAGCTTCACGTTTTGGTACAAAGGATCGGAACAACGTTAACAACGGAAAGAGAGGGAGAGTGATGACGGAGGCAACGACGGTAGCTATACATTCGATTTTCCGATAATGTCTCAGCCGCAGCAACAAAGTTCGTTTCAGATGATTGAAGGATCAATGGTTGGAGGAGGAGGAATGAGAGGAAAGAGAGGGAGAGTGATGACGAAGGCAATGGATAAAGCTGCAGCTCAAAGACAGAAGAGGATGATCAAGAACCGTGAATCCGCTGCTAGGTCTCGAGAGAGGAAACAAGCTTATCAAGTTGAGTTAGAGACTTTGGCTGCGAAATTAGAGGAAGGGAATGAGAAGCTTTTGAAGGAGATTGAAGAGAGCACTAAAGAGAGATACAAGAAGCTCATGGACGTTTTGATTCCGTTTTCTAAACGTTTGTAGCCTAACAATTTTGTTGGTTGTTGAGAAATTAGAAAGTGTGGTTGGTTGTGTTTGATTAGGTTGTTGAATCAATATATAGTTTTTGAATGTGAATTGTTTATGCTAATGTGCTTTATTTCTCTCTGTTTTTGTTGAGTATAAATGGAGAACTGCAAATGGAGAAGCCAAGAGGAGAAAGGCAGTGGAGAAGGCAAGTTCAATGTTGCTTGTGAATTGTCTATGCTATGAAATTTGAACGTGCTTTGTTTTGAATGTGTTTTTGATGTAGAAGACACCAAATCTGTCTTGTATAGGCCAAGTAGGAGACAAGACACTCAAATCAAAATATGTGTAGATCATGAATCTCTGTTTTGCATTTGACAAGTTTAATATGTGTAGATCATGAATCTATTTTTTGCATTTGACAAGTTTTTGATGTGATTATGAACTCTTGAAACACCAAACACTAATTACACCAATTACTTTGTCCTAATTCATCAAATTACATCAAAACCAAACATCATATTACATCAAAATCAAAATATTTTCAAAAAAAAAAAATTTTAAGAACCCCACAAGAGAAACTACCATTAGACTATGAAAATTAAAAAAAAAAACCCCAAGTTCTCATCTAAAAATTTCAAAAAAAAATATGTTTAAACAATTGGTGAGAGCCCATGGGGGACTCTCACCATTGGAGATGCTCTTACCAACCCCCGCAAAGATGAGTAGGACCCGGTGATGAGATGGACCAATGATAGAGCTGCCGAGAGAGTTGGTCGACAGATGGAGTAGGCGGGGGCGAGGACGGTAGGTGAAGGATTACGACCTTTGGCATTTTTTTTTTTTTTTTTTTTTTTTGGCTCACACCCACTTATATCTACCCCTCCTCCCTTCTAACACCATTTCTCAGATCAAATTCAAAACATATCCTTTCGTTTTTTGTTTGATCCAACCAAAACCAAGTATGAAAATTAACATCCGAGATTCCACCATGGTCCGGCCTGCCGCCGAGACGCCTATCACTAATCTTTGGAACTCCAACGTTGACCTTGTTATCCCCAGATTCCACACCCCCAGTGTCTACTTCTACAGACCCACCGGTGCCTCCAATTTCTTCGACCCTCAGATCATGAAGGACGCTCTCTCCAAGGCCCTCGTCCCCTTTTACCCCATGGCCGGTCGCTTGAAGAGAGACGATGATGGTCGTATCGAGATCGATTGCAACGGCGCCGGTGTTCTCTTCGTCGTTGCCGATACTCCCTCTGTCATCGATGATTTTGGTGACTTCGCTCCTACCCTCAATCTCCGCCAGCTTATTCCCGATGTTGATCACTCCGCCGGCATCCACTCTTTCCCGCTTCTCGTTTTGCAGGTCCGCTTTTTTCATTGGAACCTGGGAGAAACATTTCCCAGATAGAGTTAGTTATTTAATACTAGTTGGGCAAAAGAAATAGAGTTAGTTATTTAATAATACTGGTTGGTGCTTGTGTTTTCAGTTTCTAGTTTTGTCTCTAGCTTGATTCTTGATCTAATAATATCCCCACACGGATTTACTCATATATGTAATAAATATTCCTTGATGTATTTGTAGGTGACCTTCTTTAAATGTGGGGGAGCTTCCCTTGGGGTTGGTATGCAACACCACGCTGCAGATGGTTTCTCTGGTCTCCACTTTATCAACACATGGTCTGATATGGCCCGTGGTCTTGACCTTACCATTCCACCCTTCATTGATCGAACCCTCCTCCGCGCTCGGGACCCGCCTCAGCCTGCTTTTCATCATGTTGAATATCAGCCTGCCCCCAGTATGAGGATCCCTCTTGATCCGTCCAAATCAGGCCCTGACAATACCACCGTCTCTATTTTCAAATTATCACGCGACCAGCTTGTTGCTCTCAAGGCTAAATCCAAGGAGGATGGGAACATTGTAAGTTACAGCTCATACGAGATGTTGGCAGGCCACGTGTGGAGATCAGTGGGCAAGGCGCGCGGACTTCCAGACGACCAAGAGACCAAATTGTATATTGCAACTGATGGAAGGTCCAGACTGCGCCCGCAGCTTCCCCCTGGTTACTTTGGCAATGTTATATTCACCGCGACACCATTGGCCGTTGCAGGGGATCTGCTATCAAAGCCAACATGGTATGCTGCAGGACTTATTCATGATGTTTTGGTTCGCATGGACGATAACTATCTGAGGTCAGCTCTTGACTACCTGGAGATGCAGCCTGATCTGTCAGCCCTTGTCCGCGGTGCACATACCTACAAGTGCCCAAATTTGGGAATCACAAGCTGGGTCAGATTACCCATTTATGATGCAGACTTTGGTTGGGGTCGTCCCATATTTATGGGACCTGGTGGAATTCCCTACGAGGGTTTGTCGTTTGTGCTACCAAGTCCTACAAATGATGGCAGCTTATCCGTGGCCATTGCCCTCCAATCTGAACACATGAAACTGTTTGAGAAGTTTTTGTACGAGATATGAGAGAGATAAGCGGCTGAAGAAAATCCCTTGTTTTCCCCCACTTAGGAAACTCCTCCTGAGCTAAATTGGGCATGTTGCTTCTTGTCGCAGATTCATCATCCGGTCTTTTAGAGGGTACAACAAATCATAAATTGTGTTTATGGTCTGTAACATTTGGACTATGTCATATAGGAACTTTTGCTTTATGTTAATACTGATGATAAGTGTATGACACATGCCGTGATTGTTTTTTGCTGTCTGATTGTGATTGGTTATGTTGATCCACGATGCTGCCAGGTTTTCAGTTTTCCTGTAATAACTATGTTTCTAACGTTCTATATGCAGTCGCTGTGTTGGTTTTACGATAGTCAATGGTTATATGGGCTCGTAAGAGTTGACTTTATACTTGTGAATTTGTGGGAGAAATCAGGGCTGCTCCCAAGACTGAAAAAAAGGTCTGATTTTCATAACTTATTGATAGAAACATCTGAAGTTAAATGGAATAATGTTATTGAGAAACCAAACAGGGTACACTAAGAATCCACATTAAAAAAGCGAGCAAATGAAATCAATGATCATAAATCTATAAGGTTACATATATTGTCAATTGATTGGTCAAAGTAGAAATCATGAAGTTAGGTGAAGGAAGGAGGAAAGGGAAAAATACGGCATAAACAGTGTAGAGTATATATTTGTATGTGCTATAGTGGCATGGAATTTGTTTTAATTGAAAGGACATGTGCCTCTTTTTGGAACCAATATCGGGGAGAAAAGCACAGTTATCAAGTTTTGGATTGCAAGATTTGGTACCTTATTTATTAGTTAAACAGTGAGAATAAATGACTGATTACATTTTGGCCTATCGCATAGCTTTTGATCTAGGCCTTGTTCTCAATAAAGTGGTGATTGGGATCTGATATATCAATCGCATGTCCTCCAGTTGAACTGAGATGGTTAGCTCTGCTAAGCTTTTCAGTCTTGTGAATATCCTCTTCCAAATGAATGTCTTCTTCAAGCATTACCACTCTAGTTGGTTCGCCATGGGGTCCTGGCACTATGACTTCTTGGACTTTGAGGTGTTCATCAAACTTGATAATCTCAGTCTTTGTAGAAGACATTCTTCTTTTCTTGAGATAGCAGAAGAGAGCAGCAGCGAGGAATGCAAGAAGAAACAAACTACCAAGAGAGATAACAACCACAATGATAACATGATGCCCCGGTGGTGGTGGTGGTGGTGGAAGAACGTGAGGTGGAGGCGGTGGCTGATGGGGACGAGGATATGGTGGAGGTGGGGAATGGGGAAGAGGTGGTGGAGGAGGACCAAAGAGGGAAGGAGGTGGCGGTGGGTAATGGGGACGAGAAGATGGGGGCGATGGAGGGACAATGTGGGAAGGAGGGGGCGGATGATGCGGTGGGGCTGGGAACGGAGACGGGAGAGGATGTTGATGGGACGGTGGTGGGTAAAAGGGGAAGAAGTCAACAGAGGCAGCCATTTTGGGTGTATGTTGTTGCAAAGGTGAAGTGAGGTGTTTCATATTTGTCTAATTATGAAGCCTATTTGTAGTAGTATAAAGGTTGGATTGGTGACGTGAGATATGATGTGCTTCTAAGCATGTACTTGCTTGACTCTCATGCTAAGCTTTGCATTTATTTGGACGTTCTTGATTGTTTCTACTCCATTCATTCCACTTGCTATTCTAATAAGTAAAATGCGTAATTGGGATGTTAAAGCGATAATGGGATTGCTTTTGGTCTTCATTATGTGAACCTCTTCTTCTTCTTCTTTTTTCATCTTATTGATATATCTAAGTCCCACTGAATAGGGATCACACCATATACAAAACTGATTGATGCCAAAAACAAAAAGTAAATAACCGCTAATCGGCCTACGGTACCTACCATCTTCTCCATAAAACCCCTTAATGATATTGACTTAGCAGGAGATGTAGGACAAGATCATAAAATGAATGACAAGAGACAACTGTCTTTTATTCAAAGAGACATTTTGAAAATCCCCTATATATTAATAGAGAAACATTTTTTAAAAAAAAACTTACCATCATGTGTTATTAACAAGATTGCCACGCTGATGTGTCGCTCTTACAATGATTTGACTTCTATTTAGATAATTACCCAAGATTTATTAGACTATTTACAGAATTTGCCATTAGTCTCATATATCCATATATCCCACTAATCAAAAACGAATTTCTAATTAAAAATTAAAAAAAAAAACACAATGTATACGAGACAAACTTTATTATTTCTATATTAGCAAACACATAACAAATGTTACATTTTTTCTATATATGCATAACAAATAACAAATCTGTATTATCTAATATTAAAATTTAAGACATGCTACGTCCAAGCTTAAACTTAAAATCAAACAGACATTTTTTATTTCATAAATCGAGCAAACTAATGGTCTATATATTACTAGATTAGTTACAAAGGTGCCATGATATTCTAATTATTTCGTTAATTAATATTAAACATCAATAATACAAACATCATATCTTTATCTATACATACAGAATTTGTGTATATGTATATATATTAAATTGATCTAAGGTCTATATTTTTAAATCCAGACTAACATATATATATATATATATATATATATATATATATATATAACAACTCAAACATGTAAGCGTATAATTCATGTAAATTAATATATTAGAATATATTTTTATAACTTTTGTAAGTACAAATTTTCCTAGGTTCATAAATCCAAACTACATTTATAAAATTAATTCTCAAAACTAAATCTATCATAAAATCAACAATAAATTAATTTTTCAAATTTTGAAGGCAATCCAAATTTCAAAAATTAAACGGAACCCTACAAAAATATTTCTCTAAAAATATATTCCCTGATATCATCTTCATCCTCTCAAATTTACCAAACATACATCTTCTTAGTTTTCGAGCAATCTAAATTTTGTAAATCTTCATCAACTCTTTTACAAAGATGTATATGTGTTTGTTATTTAAGTTACGTTAGAAAAGAAATTTTCGTCTTTAATTATTTTACGGGTAAAACGAATTCCGATACGAAAAATCGATGATTGAAATATAAAACTTTTTTTTAACATGTTTTATAATACACTAACAGATATTGGATTCCGAATAATAATACAATAATTTTTATAACTAAAACTACAATGCACTTCTTTAATTGTCATGTGCTGGAAATTTATCTAGTTGCATATTTAAAAGAGACAGAGAGAGAGACATGGTGGGTGACGATGAAACGACGGCGTTTTAGCGATTTGACTCATGTTCGTCTAAAAGGCTCGACATTCTTTCTCCCCAAAGTCGTCCAATCTCAAATCGCAAATGGAGGAACTGGTGATTTCTCCGGTGGACCACGACCCTCAGGGCCAGGTTAAGCAGCAGCAAGCCGCCGGCGTTGGTATACTGCTTCAGATAATGATGCTCGTCCTTTCCTTCGTTCTCGGCCATGTCCTCCGCCGTCATCGATTCCACTATCTTCCTGAAGCCAGCGGTTCGCTTCTCATTGGTAAATCCCTTTCTCTTTTCCTTTTGCTCTCTCTCTCTCTCTCTCTCTCTCTCTCTCTTTGATTTCTCTCATCCCTAGCTTCTTCTTCCGTCGTAATTTTCAGGTTTAATCGTCGGTGTACTTGCTAATATCTCCGATACTGAGACTAGCATTAGGTTTTGCCCTCCTCCACCAAAGTTTCCTGAGTTTTCCTTTTATCGTTTCCTCGCTTACTTACTGGTTTGTTCTTTCTGCCTCTGTATCAGGACGTGGTTTAATTTCCACGAGGAGTTCTTCTTCTTGTTTCTGTTGCCTCCCATCATATTATATCCTTTGCTTCATTTGATCCTTCAAATTTGCTGCTATATATTATGTCATTTTCCTTGACATCATTCATTTGTTTGAACCCAGTCAGGTTTCAGTCTTCAACCTGTAAGTGCTTATCTTTCTTTCTTCCACAATAACCTGACTTGAACAATGGCTAAGATAAAAAAAAATCTCTGGATGCAGAAACCATTCTTTTCTAACTTTGGAGCCATTGTTACCTTTGCTATCATCGGAACTTTTGTCGCTTCAGTTGTCACTGGTGGTCTGGTGTAGGGATCATGACCCTCTTCTTTCTTAGTTTTTAATAGCTTCTGTGTTTGATTCAATTTTGCTTCTACCCCTTATCTGGTTTTCCCGCTTTTTTGCAGTTATCTTGGCGGCTCTATGTATCTCATGTATAAACTTCCATTTGTTGAGTGTCTTATGTTTGGTGCACTTATATCAGCTACGGACCCTGTCACTGTACTGTCTATATTCCAGGTGCTTCTGCTTTCCCTTTTACTATCAGTTTTATCCCTAAGTGCAATATATGATGATGCCACCAGAGGATACAAGTAAAACACAGCATGCCTTTCCCCTAAAATGATGCCTTTTATTTGTAAAATCTGATGGCAGGATGTGGGCACCGATGTCAACTTGTATGCTTTGGTCTTTGGAGAATCAGTTTTGAATGATGCTGTGAGTGTTTATTATCTGCTGCGATATTGGGCTCTTCCTTTTAGGTATATATGCAAACGAAATAACCCAGAACACTCACTAACTCCATCAAATGGGTTTTCGCGTTTCCTGTATGTGGTTTGGCTCGTAGATGGCAATATCATTGTACAGGTCTGTAAATGACATGAATTTTTTCATTTTAGATACCTTTTAAAAAAAGTATTAAAGTACTATAGAAAAACTTTCGATGCAGAACAATGTCCTTAGTAAACCGCCAGTCCTCGTCTGGGGAACATTTTCTCATGGTGGTGATCAGGTTTCTTGAGACTTTTGCTGGCTCAATGTCTGCAGGTCTGTTTGCTCTTACTCCTTTTGATCCTTCGTCACAGTTTTTATAACAATATTTGGCTCATCAACTCATAAAAGTCCCTCCTACGAAACTAGACGCACTATTTGTTAAACAATGAACAAAAGACTAGTAGAGTAGGTATCTTTGTGAAGATTGATACAACCAAAATAAGCAATAACTTGAACTGAAACGGTCGTATTATTTACCCCTTGAATCAGGGAATCTCTTTCTTTTAAAGTCCTTAACAATCACGTATACATCTACATATGTAAGGCCTGATTTTTCTCAATATATATAAGACCTGTTTTCCCCCTTTCTTTTACATGAATCAGAATATAATCTGTTATTTTCTTTTTTTTACTTTTCTCCCAGAAAAATAGTTCCAATGGTGTAAGACAGTAGCTTCTAACCGAGTCCATTGACCTCATATATTGCTTAAACATACTAACTGTCTTAATATTATTCTGCAGGGGTTGGGGTTGGATTCACTTCAGCTTTAATATCCTTCCTCGATTCCTCTTTTTTGCTTATTAGATGTCACATGGCCAAATGTATTGTAAAATCTTAACTCAGAACACCTCTTTAAGTATGCAGGATTGGATACTGAGAAGTAAGTGCCACATCTTTTCTTAACTCTTTCTATACTGTTGTATTTTTATTGTTAATACTCTTTGAACATATTGTAATGTATTTGCTTTTTCTTTTCTCTACCTCAGTCTTCAGAACTTGGAGTGTTGTCTCTTTGTGCTTTTCCCGTATTTTTCGTAAGTAGAGAAAACCACTCTCCTCCTGTCTCTTCGTATTTATGACAACACTTCTTCCCCTAATGAATTTTGGTTATTCTGTCAGATACATGCTTGCAGAAGGTGTTGGTCTCTCCGGCATTGTGTCTATACTCTTCACAGGAATTGTAATAGCCGAGTCATTGTAATTTTAATTTCTTAGTTGATCCTAATATCTTGAAAAGACATATTTAGGCAGCCTAATACAGTGCTACTGTAGGTTATGAAGCGCTACACTTTCTCAAATCTCTCAGAAGCTTCACAGAGTTTCGTATCTTCTTTTTTTCACTTGATATCCTCGCTGGCGGAAACTTTCACGTGAGTCCAGAGCAATAGCATCCATTGTTGGATAATAATTTCTACGCTTAAAGCACTTTTGGGTTGATATTGATTTGTTTCATGCTTTTCTAGGTTCATTTACATGGGATTTGATATTGCCATGGAGCAGCATAGCTGGTCCCATGTTGGGTTTATCCTTTTCTCTATTGTATCCTCATTTGCTGATCGTCAGTGATTGTATGCAGTGTTAGCCAGTGTTGATAATCCTTGACTTTACCTTTTGCTTCTGCTTTTCATGACTGACATCAGTTGTTTATTGGCGTGGCTAGGTGACTAAATCCCTTACGAATGCTTTTTTATCCTGGCTGATTGCTTCATTATCATTTATCACCATGGTTTTCCATTCAGATTTACCTATATGTTTTTCTCACGCAGGGCTGTCAATGTATTTGGGTGTGCATATTTGGTCAACCTATTTAGACAGGAGAACCAGAAGATACCTATGAAGCACCAAAAAGCCCTTTGGTATAGTGGTGAGATGAGTTAATAGCTTTTGTTCTTGTCTCCTGATGCCCATTTTTATATCTACACACTATTAAAACTTGTACACATATTGGCACATCGATAGGACTTCGAGGGGCAATGGCATTTGCGCTTGCACTTCAATCACTTCATGACCTACCAGAGGGTCACGGCCAAATCATCTTTACTGCAACCACAACCATTGTTGTTGTCACGGTAAGTTTTGTATTCTCTCCATGAAAAGCATCTATGTTCTTCATTTCCAGCGGTAGTATACGTAAGAATCTGCTAGAGTTGGAGAATAATACATAGGCTTCGTTTCTTATCCATTGCAGTAATATTTCAGGTTTTACTAATAGGAGGTTCGACAGGTAAAATGTTGGAAGCTTTGGAAGTTGTAGGTGATGATCTTGATGACTCCATGTCTGAAGTAAACTCTCGACATCTAATCTAATACCTTTGAAGTAAATTTGTGTATGTACTTTTTCTAACGCACCCAGATACGTGGTCAGGGCTTTGAAGAGAGCGATCATCGGTATGTCCCTCCTCCTTTTAGCATTGGAGCTTCTTCTGACGAGGATACATCATCGTCAGGAAGCAGGTTCAAGATGAAGCTGAAAGAGTTTCACAAAACGTAAGAAAAAGAGAATGATTGGCTTAGTATGTTTTAAAAAGTGATATTTGCATTTTTTGGGACTCACTTAACAAAACTTTGCAGCACTACATCATTCACCGCGTTGGACAAAAACTTTCTGACACCGTTCTTCACAACTAACAGTGGAGATGGAGATGGAGATGGGAATGGAGAGTAGCGTGGAAAGGTGTATATTTGTGATCAAGGCCAAGTTTTAATTAGTATTCACACGCAAATGCCTATGTAAGATTACCACGGGTTAATTTTACCTCTCACAGAATGCCCGCTATAAATTTGACAATCTACGAGATATCTCGAATGATTATATATGTATTCATTGTGGTACAAAGACTTGCATGTAAATAATCTATTACAAGAAGAAACTGAGCTCATGTTTGGGGGTGAACATAAGCATGCTCTCACCAAAATATTCAAAAAGAGGAAAGAGATAGTTGTCCACGTCAGTGCCCAGAGCAGCTGAAGTCCTCCGAGCAATGTCCCTTCCAACTAGCGACTGTTGAGGGACTGTTGTGGTTCCGTGCATCTGCATCTGTGCGGAGCTCATTTGTATAATTCCCCCTACTGCTATCTTCTTCAGTGGTGGTTGATGAGTTAAGTTGTCACTACTTGCCTTGCGTTTACCTTGGCCCAAAGAAAAATTATTCAAGAAAGCCCATGTATCTCCATGTTTGGATCTCAAAAAAAAAAAAAAAGAGACCAGATTTTATACTTTGCCTGGGACTGGTAAGCTTTCCATTTGTCTTCCAGACAGAGCTATTTGGAGGAGACAGCAGTGTCTCAGATGATTTAAGCCTCTCATATAGGCATCGACCAGCTGCCACCTATGGACAGTTAAATGTTTATATCTCCTGCCTGTTTTCCCACACGAGATTGAAAGCAAACAAGTTGTCTAATTTATGTATCAAACTAGAAAGCATACTCACCATCAACGCTCCATAAACGAGCCAAGCCCCGTGCCTCTTCGCTTCGTCCTTCTGCTTCTCAGGTTCCATTTCAGGTAAAAGAAGCAGCAAATACGGCCCTAGGTTTGGGAGAACAAGAAAGCGAACCTAGACAAAGGGATAAAGCAATAAAAATACTTACGGACGACCAAGAAATATATCCTAGGGTAAGAGAGTACTCTCTAAACTTATTTTAAACTTATGCTTTCTTATGGGAAATTCTAGACGCAAATCCTAAAGTGCTAATCTTCCTTATGATAATCAAGTATCAAGAAAAAGTACCATATTAAGCCCAAGGGCTACCATCCCTTGAATTGCCCCATAGTGCTGTGGAAGTGCCTTGGTTGGGTCCAAAAAGGTATGAAGCAGTGATCTCGTAACACGTGGCAACAAGTTGTGATAAACATGTCCATACCTGTAAAGGTTCACTAATGTGATTGCAGGTAATCTATATTATATTAGATGACAATCATTTTTGTGCTTTCTAATGTATATCGTAAGTTAACAGTAAGTATATCCCAATTCCCAATAATGAAATTTGCCAAATAAATCCTCAATAATGACAATCAAGAAAAGGCTCTTGATGGCACAGCAGTAATATGGCTCTACAAGATGCATGAAATCAAAAAGCAAGAATGTAACATTAACCTTTTGCACGTTGAAGCAACTGTACTGGCAGTGAAGTTTCTCAAGTGCCAGTGATTATCAGATGACTTTCTTCCTAAGCTCTTGGCAATGAGGCAAGTGATAATAGACGGCATAAATTGATGCAGCTGAACAGAATACAACAAGTTAAAAGTCAACAGAAGGAGAAGAAAAACAAAAAACAGCGGGCGCAAAAAACTTACATATGGTTCAATATGTACATGAGGGTTATGAAGGAGGCTTCTAGCAAGACGCATCAAAGCCAACAAGATTGGGTAATTATCCATGTTCCTGACAATCTGGAGAAATTGCAAGCCGAAAAGTAGTCAAAATGTGGTAGAAGGACTCTCAAGTTAGGATAAAACTCAAGACTTGAAATGTTTGATTACAAACGCAACCTCTTCAGCGATGAAAGAAGTGAAAAAGGGAACTAAAGGGTGGAGTCCAGGGTCAGTTTCCAAGCTGGAGAGTGCTTGTCTAAAGAGGGTGGAGCCAGATTGAGTCAAAGCCCACTCAGTGACTTTGTCAAAGTAAATCTGCATCGAGAGCAAGCAAGGATTATAGCCTCAAAGAGCGAGGTAAAAAAAAAAGAGAGGAGTTTGAGCATCAAACAAAGTAAAATAAACCTGAAGGTCCTTAGAGAGCACCTGTCTAGCAGCCAAGCCATCGTCCTTATATTCCGATCGTTTAAGGTCAGATATGGCTACAAATTGTGAGGGAAGAGGGATTAGAAGGAGAAGTAGGTGATGCAAATTCTTCCACAAAAGAAGAAGAAGATACCTTGGAGATGAGAATTCTGTGGAATGGAAGGTTGAATACCATCAATTGCCAACCAATGAGAGAAGATAGATGCATCAGGAGGTGCATTTGGTAGAGGAGCTTCGATAACCTGCACAAGAGACCATAAAAATAAACAAACATTTCATGATCTTCTTTCTTCATGGCCAACATCAATGAAACTCACATTCTTGAGCTCGACATCTTTGTCATCCAAGAAGTAGAGATCTCTGTTCTCAGGAGCTCTCTTGAACCGCATACTTTTGGAGCCGGAGGTAGGCTAAAAAAAAAAAAAAAAAAAAAAAAAAAAAAAGTCAAAATCAGAGTCAACGGTATGAAACCAGGAGAAGAGAGGAAGAGGAAACCTCCAAATTCCTGAAATGGAGAGCAGAATCGACATCATGAGCCATTAAAGTGGTGCGGCGAGCATGGCGCATGCATTTGATAGCTTCCTGCAGATAGCGGCGACAAGTTAAAAGAGGGGATTAGAGGGCAAAAGTGAAGGTGAAGTTGATGATATACCTGCATCACCTCTAGGACACGATACTCGACATCGGGAGCAAGAGCCGCTGAGACTTCCGGAGAAAGACTGGAGAGTCCAATGCTCTGAGCTATCACTTCAATGGATTCCTTCGTCACCATCTTTGCGCTCTTTCGACTCCGACTCTCGACTTTGAACGACCGAGTCGAGTCAGTCGTTCACTCTTTCGGGCTTTCTCAAATGGGCCCATCAGCCCACCACTTGTCCGGGTCTTATGATACTCTTCTGGTTTTGAATTTTTAGCTCATCTACACTCGTGTGTTATTTTCAATCAGGCTTTGATGGTCAGACCTTGTGTAATCTGTATCAATCTCTATTCACTTGCATCTTTCGCTCGTTTTTGACTCAACGTCAAGAGTCAAGACTGGTAGATTATATACAAACTGGGTGTTGTTTCGGACACCAACATGTTTCTTATATGTTTCAAGAACGGGCCCATGACACCCGTTGCAGATTTACTTTCTTCTTCTGTCTCTATGTAATCAATCAGCTTTCACTTGGCACCTCCTCTTGATTCAATCGACCATACAAACAATCTTGGGCATCCACGTCCTCTATTCGCCAGTTACTTTCCTTGCTCTTCGGGTCTGCCGTTGAGATTTGTAAGATCTTGTTATGGAATTTCTTTAAAGTTCGGCGGTGGCCAATGCTTATATATGTAATGCCAGCCGACTGGATTTGCTGGTACAGGAGCGCCTGGGCATCAAGAGTAATTAATGCCTCAACGCTACAGTTACATGATATTCTAAATGATAGATGAGAGGAGAATCAACAAGTACCTCATTAGCTTCATCCAACGCACTGGTGGATTCATCCAGGAGCGCCAGCTTTGGCTGAGAAAGCAATAACCGTGCAAAGGCGAGGCGCTGCTGCTCACCAAGTGAAAGAACACTGGACCACTCGTGTATCGAATCAAGACCACCAAAGCGATCCGCTATATGTCCAAGACAAACCTTCTCTAGAGTCCGCATCAGATCATCTGTTGTCGGCTTATTACACTTTTCATTTCCGTCGTCTCTGATCAGGAGAGGTGGTGAACCTAACAAAATCAACGCATTTTTTCTTAAAAGTTTGAGCCACTCGATTTGCTTTTGGGTTACATAATCTGCTTGCATTAACTTAAATGCAAGATTTGAAAGAAGCGGTGTTACTAGCCACAAATTTAAACTGAGTACCGTCTATATTACTGCCACCAGGTGTCGCCTCCTCCACAGTTGCACTCCAGGTAGGATAAAGCAATTGCTGACGCAACGATCCCAGAACCATATAAGGCCTTTGTGGAAGGAACAATACGTCTCCCGAACTTCTTTTCTCTGAATTTTCCTGAGTATTAGATGCCTCCTGTGTAAGATCATCCTCAGAATCGAGGTAGAACGTGATTTTTCCTTTCCCTGACCTCCAAAGACCAGCCATTGCTCTTAGCAGCGAAGTTTTACCGCTCCCACTAGGACCCATTATCTGTTAAATGGCATTTGTAAGGAACTTCCCATCTACCAGTCACATGCTTTAAACACAAGTAGTCAGAGTGAACTAACCAGTAGATGATCCTTGTCATATATATCCACAGATAAGTTGTGAACCAATGTGGTTCCATTTGTTGGTGTTTGAAGAGTAAGCTCCTCGATCTCCAGACGCTTTTGGTTCAGTTGGGACTTGATTGAACCATTGGTGTCCAGCAGTGAAGAGTTCATCTCACTCTGATACGTTAGCTCAATCTCGTCCGCAGTGCCAGAGGGATCTCTGAAGATGCTGTTATCCAAAAGATCATCAAATTCACCTGTGTTGTAAGAAGTCTTGATATTATTAGATGCGTAAAAGGAGAATCCCAACCTACAGCAAATGCAGTTTTTCATTTAGCCGTAGAAGTTGATTGCAGAAATAATGGAATTTTGTGAATACGTTGTACATAAGACATGATTTAGACCCAATTTTAAGCAGGACAGAGAATAGCTGTCTCGATCTTTATATCTGCCCATCACACTCTCAACTGTAGCAGACGCATTGTTTTCCGGGTATTCACTCTTAGATATTATAAACAAGATCCTACTATTATACTGTCTATACTATTATCTATACTGTCACTAGATATTATTATCAAAATCCTACTACTACACAGTCTATATTGTTATAACATAGAAGAAAATAACTCACAACAACGACACATTTAAACTTCTACTCTTCAATATTATAAACAATATCCTACTACTAAACTATCTTTTTCTCACCATCAGGTAACAGAAATTATGGTGATGTGCATATTCTGCGTCTAATGTTCTGTATCGATCTAAGGTCTCGTGAGATCTGTATGCAACAAGTAGTATAAATATAGAACATTATAAGAGAGTGCAGACTACATAATTAATATACCTAGTCGATCAATGACAGCAGAAAAAGAGCTGATAGCTTGAAACTGATAAACGACGAGCGAGAAGTCTCCTAGGATATGATTGAATGCTGATACTGACTGGTTAATGACACCAAACTCAATCTTCCCGGAGAAATACATTGGGGCAACAACAGCAACTGGAAGAATCTGAATGAGGTAGCGATATCCGTCGGTGAAGAATTCTAGGTTTCTGGATGCTATCAGCAATTCCTGCAGGTGAAAAAATGAATGAACTGCAATCTATATGTATAAGAAAGCTCGAGAATCACTGAGGGAAAAGTAATTTTACAGTTAAATTATCAAAAGCGCTTCTGAAACGCTGAAGCAGAAGCTGCATTTCATTCTGTTCGCCTCCATAGAAAGCTATCGATTCAGCATTTTCCCTCACTCGTACAAGGCTGTAACGAAAGTCAGCCTCTTTCTTCTCTTGTAGAAAGTTGAGATTGACTAGTCCCTGAACTCAAGAGGGAATGTTAATGGAACTCAACATGATTGCAACAAAGACAAAATCTGAAGCCGGACAGAAATGAAACAATCACTGCTTAACTAGGCAATGGAGAAACATTGTATGGATAGGGGGGAAAAGCAAGTTTACCTTGCCAAGAAAGACACTGATGGCTGTTCCGCCAAAGGAGTAGAGCAAGAGAACGAGAAAGAGAGGAGGATAAATGGTGAAGAGGATGTTGCTAAAAGAGATGAGGTCAATGGTGGCATTGACAAGCGTCAAAGAGAAAGACAAGGCAGTTCCAGTGAAGGAACTCAAATCGTCAACAATGCGCTGATCTGGATTGTCAATCATAGACTGAGACTGGATCTTGTAAAAGGTTTGATCTTTCAGATAGCGCTGCAGGTAATATTTGGTCATCCATGATCTCCATCTCAGTGATAAAGTCTCTTTTGTATAATCTCTTAGCACAAAGAACTGCAAATCCAGGAGAAGAGAACAACATCATTGGGATTGGCTTTTAACGTTTAAAGGATCTCTCTGAGGAAAACTCACCGGAATTCCGCCGGCGAAAGCACAGAGGTAATAAAACAACTGCTTCGTGAATTGCTCTTGGTCTTTGTCTTTTGAATAGAGAGATATTGAGCACAGAGAAAAGATTATCAGTGGAAATTTGAAAAGTGAGAACTGAGAGAGAGAGAGAGAGAGAGAGAGAGAGAGAGAGAGAGAGTTGAAGAATCGTACTGGCGAGAGAATTGTAGAAATCACGGCCGAGGAAATTGAAGCCGACGCTAATGCCAGTGGTGGCGAGAGTTAGGGCGAAGACGGCGGCGAGACGAAGCCTGGCTTGGTCTTTGTCCTCGGAAAACCAATAAGGCGACGCGACTTTGTAGAATTTCTTCCACAGAGTCTTCAACTCCGATGCCTTATCCGGACGAACAGACGGTTGCGGCAACAAAGAAGAAGAGGATACGGTTCTGACACGTGGAGTTTTCTTCCGATGAAAGTTTCCGATTGATTCATGGCGAAGCGAAGAAGAAGAAGAAGAGTGATCGCAGGGGAAAGAATGGCGGAGGAGAAGGTGAGGAGGACAAGTGGTGAAAACGGGAGCTGTTATCATCAAAATCATCGTCTAAGAAGATTTCCTCCGTCGTCTTCTTTATCTATCCCACATAGCCATCTCTCTTAACAGATAGCAGCAACTTCAGGCATTATCACTAAAGCTCAACCATTCATTTCTTTACCAGATAACATAATGACAAAGTGAACGTAGCCATTTCTGTTGCTTGGTTGGTAGCTTTTACAACAGAGATTATACAGAGAAAGAAAGATTCAAATTTGAACGTTTGAATGAGGAGTGAGTCGTCTCGGCTTTGGGAAATCTGAGTTCCTGGGGAGATTACCCCTTTTATTTATGCAATTGCCCCTTTTCTAGGCTTAAGTTCTACACATATGTTATGTTACTACAAGTGATACTGACATCGCGCTGCTGCGACTCTTTGCTTTTCAGATTTCCATTCTTCTTCTCACAACCTGGAGTTGCCTAACAATCTTCTTCTTAACTCCCATGCCACCGCATCAATGAACTCTTCTGTATTCACATACTGATCCCTCCTAACCCTGTTCAAATTACAATGTAGGCAAAACTTATCTATCACATTTTTACTAGGTCAATCAACCACAACTTTCTCTGTGGTTTTAGTCTTACTTGGGTCCGTGGATCAGAAGAGCTAGATCCTTGGTCATTTTGCCAGACTCCACCGTCCCCATGCAAGCTGCTTCTAGTTTCTCAGTATAGCTCAAGAGTGCGGCATTGCTGTCCAGCTTTGCCCTGGTAACATCACATACCAAACATCTTATTAAGATGAACTCAACCAGTTTTCAGAGACGTTGAACTCAATTTAAGGCAGAAAACCTAACAGTTTATATTTCAATGAACCTATCATAAAGCAACAAGTAATGACAACTCTTACTACAAACAATCCCTGATAGACTAACTCATTACTTGTTGTCACTTCCAAGAAAGGGATTGGATTTTCTCCAAGAGTCGCAACAAGCAATACCATGTGTGAAAATATTCAAACATAGTGGAAATCGCTACCTGTGGGCAAGGCCTCTGGACCAAGCAAAAATGGAGGCTATGCTGTTGGTGCTTGTTTCACCACCTTTTTGGTGAACTCTGTAGTGGCGAGTAACTGTGCCATGAGCTGCTTCTGCTTCAATGGTTTTTCCATCAGGACAAACCTATAATATCTCAAATAAACATTCAGAAAGCAGGAAGATGTGCAGGAAACATGTTAACACGATAAAGACCAAAAACTTTGGCTAACACGATAAATAAACATACCAACACCGACGTCATCATTCCCAGAGATCCATATCCTGCAGGGGAGATCAGAAACTTTGTTTCGTAAGGAGAAATAAGATTGAAGTTTCTGTCCCCATTCAGATCATAAGTTATAAGAAAAGAATCATGATACAAGACCAATAATGCATTTGGTTAGAAGGAAGCAAAAAGATTAAGGTTTCAGTCCCTCGACAGATCTCAAATTTAAGGGGAAAAACCTTGGGCTAAGAAATCGCTCTGTACATCTCCATCGTAATTCTTGCATGCCCAGACATAACCGCCCTCACTTTTCATGGCATATGCAACCATATCATCTATCAAACGATGCTCATACCTGGAGTTCATTAACTTTGTTTACAAGTTTGCATGGTGTACTGTAATAGAATGTAACTAATAACATGCACATCTCACCATATCCCTGCAGCTTCATACTTGGATCTCCAATTAGCTTCATAAACTTCTTGGAATATATCCTTGAATCTGAAAACAATTTGAAAAGGTAATGTCAGGGTTGACTAAATGGCAAAATGATTTCGGTGGAACTCTAACAAGAAAAAATAAAGGGGAGTGAATTCACACCTTCCATCATATGTTTTCAGGATGGTGTTTTTTGTGGAGAGGTAAAGTGGCCACTTTTTCTGGTAAGCTGTGTACATCGAGGACTCAGCAAATGCACGAATAGACTGTTCAATAATGAAATAGGACCACCAAATCAACTAGATACTCTGTAAGTGTATTCAGGTAGTACAGACATGAAGGAGAGGACTCTTTCAATAATATCTACCTCATCAGTGTTATACATGGCTAAAGCAACACCTCCACCAGTGAAATTGAAGACTTCAAATTCTGTTTTCTGAGAAGATCCACTTGGCTCTGCATACGTAAGATATGATTTTTAACGCGAATAAATAAACTTCTACAGGTAGGTAAATTCAATGACAATGATCCCCCATTATTTTCTTCAATGAACAATTGAATTGATGGGTTAGTCAGATCCAGATTTATGGATAGACGGTGCTCAGATTTGTCTTTAACTAAAAAGGTACGTATTCACCTTTCATGCTTTCAGTTACGATATCAAATAACGGGAGGAGGAGATTTACCAAAAACTAGTTTCAGTTTTCCTGGTTCATTGACAATGATATCAGTGGCTCTATACTGATCACCAAAAGCATGCCTTCCAATACAGATTGGCTTCGTCCATCCTGAAGAAAAGAAAGCAGAGGGATTTGTTTTGCTCTACATGTTACAGGTACAGAAAATGGCTAACTCATATAAAAGAGCAGCCATTGACAAACCTGGAACAATACGAGGGATGTTTCTGCAAATGATAGGTTCCCTGAAAACTGTGCCTGCAAAAATAACAAGATGATCTTAGAGCTTAGTAAATTGAAGAACGAATTGCCCCCGTTTTAGGAGAATAAACTGACCGTTTAAAATGTTCCTTATAGTTCCATTAGGACTCCTCCACATTTTCTTTAAGCCGAACTCCTTAACACGAGCTTCATCTGTTGTTGAAAGCAAAAACTGTTGCTAGTAAGTCAAAGAAGCACACTTTTAAATTAAAATTTGCAAAGGTTCAAGGATACATACCTGGAGTAATCGTCGCACACTTAATAGCCACGTTATACCTTCACATGAGAAAAAGAAAAAAAGACAACTATAAGATGAAGAAAACACAACAATAAGTGGTGCGACTTCCAAACTTTCCGAGCTAAAACCATAAGGCAGAGACAATAGTCATGAACAAGCTTAGACACAGGAACAACCTCAACACTAGAAGAAGAAAGCATGGAGAATATGATAATAAGTATAAATGTAAAGCAGACATACTTTAAAGTAGCTTCAGCACTCTCTATAGTAACCTTATCATCAGTGAGATCGCGGTTAGGCAGTCCAAGATCAAAGTATTTGATATCCAACTCGAGGAAAGGGAAAATAAGCTGTAAATTTCTCAGAGGTTAGTTAGAAAACGATTTGAATCTGTGCTTTTAAAGATTTAAAAAAAAAAAAGTTTAGATTTTTACCTTGTCTTTGATGAATTTCCAGATAACTCGAGTCATTTCGTCTCCTGAATGTGCACAGAGAATAAATAAAGATTCAAGTTTCTGAATTTATTTCATAAAACAAACACACACTCGATACTAAACAACCCGGAACAGAGCCGATCACATATACTCCAATCTAAGCAAATCAATCAATCAGATTAACGAGAAATCCATAATCGCGATCATAGATTTGAGCTAATTCAATGTTCGAACACTTACCATCCATTTCAACAACGGGATTGATCACCTTGATCTTCTCGAATTCCATCTTCGCCCGCAGAGGTTATGATCGACGAGTGAAATTGAATTAGTGAAACGATCACCTCTGCTCCGCCATGAAAGACGATAAAATAACAGCTCTTTCTCTCTCTCTGTTGGGTCACACTCTTTCAAAAGCCCAAATAATTAAGCCCACTTCTATATGTGGGCCTGATTCTTAGTATAGTATTGTTATTGTAGTATAGTATAGTATTGTAGCCCAATTTTTAGTATAGTATTGATCTTGCTCGCAGTGATTAAATTTAATAGTAGTCAGCTTTAACAATAATCATCAAAATCTGACAATTGAAGAAGATCTGCTTTGGCTAATTGAATAATTAATCAACCTCTCAAGTGAATAACAATCACGAGGTGGTCCTGTTGAATTAGTATATTAAAAAGAGTAATGAGTGTGACCACTTTAACAAGGGTAAAAACGAGATTTAATGCATGGAGAAAAGCAAAAGCCAACGCAATGTTTTTGGACAGTGTCATTGTTCTGCGATAATTGAGATGCGTGAAAAACATGAAAGCAAGAATCTCTAGAGACACAGGGATTCCAACTTGTATTATTTAAAGGCTTTTCTTTTTTCCTTGGATCAGTTTGTTTAGCACAAACTAAAATGGGATGAAAAAAGATGATTTGGAAACCGACATGTAGGGAATCAGATGCTACTTTTTCTCATGACCAGGACTCTTCTTCTTCTCTTTTAGAAGAATTGTGATTGATGTTGATGGTGGAGATGATGTATGTATAATGTATCGTATGTATTATCATGATTCCCCCATAGAGTCCCACCTTTACCAATTTCTTCATGGATATACACGTAATTCGTAAAGTTTTTTTTACTATTTTTTAAAAAATGTCACAATTGTGTTACGTCTAATTAATTAATGTTTATTTGCTACTCTAGATATCAATTCTATAAGCTTGAAAAACATTTTAGAAACTGTGTACTTTTTTTTTTTTTTTTTTTTAAGAAACTGCGTACTTGATACATGTGAAATGAAAATATAAAGGGTTGATAAGATGCTTAGATCTTAATAGAGCTTTATTCGTTTCCCCTTAGATCGTATCAAAGGTTGCATGTCTTTAGTTAGGCTTGCATGTTAGCTTCCTCGTTGTCTTTGTTAATTAATTTTTTTTTTTTTTTGATATACCCGATCGGCTGATCCGGTCAGTCTCGGTAGGAACGCACCGGAGTGCTACAGAGTGGACTCACTACCACCCCGAAGGATGGGCTACCACACTGCCTGAACCGAGTTTGGAATGCTTTCCGACTATTGTCCGGGGGTAGCTGGATCGCCTGTTACCAGACTACCAGGTAAACTGCCTGGGCCGAAGCCCAAGCACAGACTTTCCAACAAAGTGTTGATAACAGCGAGGGAGGAAGATCGAACCCGGGTTCGGGGATTTCACCCTCAACTCCGGACTTGCCCTACTTTGTTAATTAATTAATCCACAGTCCTTTTCCATATGCAAACTATCTATATATATACATCATTCATATATATATATATATATATATATTCACATTAGTTGTTCATATAGACGACTCGATTTCTGACCAAGAAAAAAAATTGGTGAAACAATTGGGGCATGACAATTGAT